AATGCAGCCAGCCTCCTCAGGAAGATTAGGAGGGCAGTAAGATAACGCAGCCACCTCCAGGCTGATATTTGAGCCTTGCTTTCTACACGGTCAAGCCTTTTGGAGGCAGCCAGCCTATGGCTTGTATCAAACTCTATATTTAGGAAGAACAACTGTGAGCTATGACAGGAATTCTCTTTAACACTTATCCTTAAACTGAGTTCCCCTCTAGCCCCAAGCCAGGAGCAGCTCTCAGGACTGAAGAGACACAGAGCACTTCAGCTATTTCAGCCACATGAAAAGCATTGGAATTGCGATCCTAGCTCAGACAACATCGGGAGTTCCTTCTACCCTCTAAGAGCTTTGTGTTTTCACACCTGACTGCCTGGGACTATCCTCAGGCTGTAAACAAATCCAGAGAACAGGTAAGCAGAAGGAGCCAGCTTTGGCTGGTACCTTTCTAGAGGAAATCTCTTTGATCACTAACAAAGTGACTTCTCATAACTTTGTAGTTTGCTAAGTGCTGGGTGTAGCTTCTTTGTCAATTCCCCTCTCACTGGTGGTAACCTTGATTCTATAAAGTAAGTGTGTGTGTGTGTGTGTGTGTGTGTGTGTGTGTATGTGTGTTTGTATATTGAACTAAAGGGGTTTTCATTGTCAGGGATGTTAAGCAAATATCCACAATCCAGATAATATAACTGTGACCTTGAAGCTCTGCTGGCTAGTGTTAAAGTCAGCTGCAGACTGCTCACAGGCTCTAACCTGAGAATTAATCAGAAGTGTGAGCAGTGGAAAGCTGGAACATTAGTTTGTCTAAATAAAACCATTGTGAGAGTGTTAGATGGCCTAAGTTTAAAATGTTTTTCTCCTTTCCTCAAGTGCTGAGCTTGGTCTCAACAACAAGCTTGTGCAGACAGAATCATCTTTTCCAGAGCTTTGCTTTGTTCAAAGTTTTCCTGTACCCAGCAGGGTAGAGGGCAGCACTCATTGTCCTTGTCTCCCTGGGCATCAGATTCCATGGTATGGAACTGCAAAAACTCTCTCTTTGCTCCCAGCATAGTGAAGTGGTCAGGGCATCATTCTACACCCTCCTAGGGAATTATTTTTAGCTTCAGGATAGAAGATAAATCCCTTGGAGATAGAGCTTTACTCATTTCCTTGACCTTTCAAAAGAACAAACAAAACTCTTCATTCCAAACAGTGATTGATTTCCCCCTTAATCTCGTCCTGGGAAATTAGTGATATTAATGTTGACCGGTTTTAGTAAGCTGAAGGCTTTTATTTAGAAGCTAGGTATTAGGTGCTGCCCAGTCAAAAGCAAATAGGGCTCTATCATCTATGACTCAGCACACAGACCATTAAAAGTTCCCACAGTCTGCTAGGAAAACTTACCTGTGCTCAGTTGGCAAGCTTCACCAGTTTATTAAATCAATATATGCCTTGTCAAACTTGCCGTGTTTCAAATTTTAGCCAGATCCAGGAGACAGACGTAGCTATTGTGTGTTGTAAAGAGTACCTATTTTGATGAAAATCAGTGGTCCTGAAGTGGATGGTGGTGAGGTGAGTATGGATAGCATTGCTTGCTGTTTCCATCCATGGAAGAAGCATGCACATGTAGAGGGAAGGTGCACTACACTCTACATCCTGATGGAGGTGAATGCTCGACCAGGGAAACAGCCAGGGAACGCTGTCTATTTTTATTCGTCACTGGGCTTTGCCCTGATTTCTCTGCAAATAATGAGGACAGCAGGAACTGCTGCTGAACTGATTTATACAAATATTCTCTAGCCTGATGGTGAGAAATGAGAGCAGGAAGTGAATTGACTTTCTATAGATGTCTCTATCAAAGATGGATGAAGATGTTAAGAAGAGATTCACATACCAATGAGAATATAATAAAGCTATATAGGGGAGATAAAGTCCATGTAGCTATTAGGCTCAGAGTGTCCCAGAAAATACTGTAATTCAGTAGTTGGTGCAAACTGTCAGTGAAAAAAATAAATCACAGACAAAACTCAGTATAGTATAAGTAAAAGCATTCATTGCTCCCTGCTTTTGCATTTTAACTTGCTACTGTAATCACATGATTTAAATCCTCATGATTTAAATTAATATATGGTAACTTAAACAAAAAACAAAACAAACAATGTTGCCAGGCAGTGGTGCCTATCTTTAATTCCAGATGCAGAGGCAGGTGGATCTCTGTGAATTCGATGCTAACCTGGTCTACAGAGTGAGTTCCAGGACAGCCAGGGATACACAGAGAAACCCTGTGTTAATTGGGGAGTGGTGGGTAGATGGAGTGGGGGTAGGCTGGGGGTGAGGGGAGGGAGAGGGAGAAGGGACTTACATGTGAAACAAGCTTGTTCCCTAACTAGAACTAATAAATAAATTAAAAAAGAAGTTAGATAACACTTAAAATTACTTTCAATCATCTAAATATTTACAATTTCTGAACCTATATGAATCTATATTAAAGAAAAGTCTGGAAAGCTACTCCCTTTTATGCAGCCAGTTAAATGACTCATGTGGTAAGTACTTTGTTAATGGAAAACAAGTTTTTACATTTTTCTTTTTTGTGTGTGTTTTTTTGAGACAGGGTTTATTTGTAGCTTTGGAGCCTATTCTGGAACTCTCTATATAGACCAGGGTGGCCTTGAACTCTGTCTCTGCCTCCCAAGTGCTGGGATTAAAGGCGTGCACCACCACTGCCTGACCATTTTGTCTTAATTTCCAAATTAATTTAATATTCAGGAAATCTATACAAGTATTCAATCTGTTTAGGAATATTTGGAATAACTTCAAGAGTGCAGCAATATATAGTTTAGACAACATGTATCAAAATAAAACCCTGCCTTGTAATGCCCGATATTATAATATTATTACTGCTTCCAAATTAGTGTGTATAATCTAAAACTGAGCCCACGTCACAAAATAAGCTCACCCATTTACAAAATATACAGAGTAGTGTATCATTTCCCTCCATATGGTAGCAAACACAGCCTCCCACTAGTCTGCTTACAATGCATTCAAGGCTTGTACACCATTAAATGACTTTACATTTTACATACAAAGGAAAGTGAAACCTATATTGAAACTGAGTGATTCTTAAAAGATAATACTTCATAAAGTGTCAGGTACTCAGAAAATATGTGTTTTACTTTACTAATCATATTCAAACTCAATTTTGTATAATAGAATAATTGATTTGGGTGGAAATGTTCTAATTTAGAGTGGAAAAATTATCTGGAACAAGTTGTGTTTTGTATTTTAATATTTCTCCTAGAATGTATAAAGGAGTGGTTGAATGATTTTTATCAGATTTGTGCCTGAAAAAAAGCTATTCTAAGCATATCATTTTGGAATTGAACTGTATGCTCTAGAATGAATGACAAATTAGAATGTTATTTATGTCTCTTTGATGCTGAATGGAAAGTAGCACTCACTTTGAAACCTATCATAGAGAAAAATATATCCTTGATTGTTCAATCTGTTGTTCTTACTTAATTTTTAACAATATTAAAATTGGTTATTGTGGAATAACCTTATTGTGGAAGCAGTACCTATATCTTAGCAAGACATTCAGATGAAATTTTAAAAGTTCTGTTATTTTCATGTATATAGCTCTCAGAACTATATATTGAGATACAATAATTATTGTAGATACTTCAAAAATAAATGTACAATTACTTATTTTCATAGAATGGAAGCTAAGATCTAAAATAAAAAAACTGCATTTTTGCCAAGTTCTCTGGTCATTCATTTCTGTACTGAAGACCATGCATCAGCTCTCCTCTATACTTAAGGCTGTGGATGAGCACAGCACTCAGAAATTATTAGGTGTGGCCATGGGTAATAATGCAACAAACATTCTTACCAAACAAAGCCTTGCCAGAGGTGTCATGTCACTTAAATATTACAGCAACCTGTGAAGCAGGCTCATTTTAAGAAGAGGAAACAGGCCTAGAAGCAGTGAATGACATTGCTCAAGCTTCAGGTATTTTGTGTGAAATATTAATACTGCTCCATGTGTTCATTCAGCCACATGTTATCCATATACATAGCACTCAGTAGATAGAATTCAGTCAGCCCTTTTAGGTTTAGAACAGAGAATGCCTTTAATTCAGTGAGTTTTTAACTTTTTACTTGGTCTGGTTGATGTTTAACAGACAGCTATAAAAACAGGCCAGAGCTGGGTTCATTATTATTCTTTGTTCCTTTAGCTCCAACAAACCATAGCCTACATCCCTAGATGGGCTTTGGTCCCAGTGATCAAAGTTAAGTTAGGTCTCATGTGTTTAAAGAAAGCTGGGGAAGAAAGCATTTCTACATTTGGGGGTCCATTATGTAGTCACAATGCTATTTGCCTTTGAAGATACTCCTACTGAAAGAAGAGTTCTAGAACATTCTGGTTTCCATGGTTTTAGAACCCAGGCTCATTGTGGATGGTTAGGTGGGATACCTCTGAAGATTAAACAGCTCAGCTCTTCGGAGAGTCTCCCAGGTCTCTGGGAGAAGAGATATATGTACAGAGACATCTTTGGGTATTTTACTGAGAAGAGTTGCCCCTGGTGAACTGAATAGCTGCTCTGCCAACAGTGAGTACAGATCAAAAGTTCAGTTTCAAGCTGAGAGCCTCTGAGGCTGAACAAAGGTGTTTTATTCCCACCACCTCTTCGGTTTGCTGCTCTTGGCAGAAGGTCAAGAGGGCAGGCAAAGAGATGATAGGGCCTTTCAAGTTTCTGATCACCTATCATTTGCATCAGGGGCAAGGCATCTCAGTATATCTTCTCCTGAATGATTTATCGAGGTGCTCTAGTGTTCCCTCTCCCTGAGGCATTGGGAAGGAGCGTCTCCAAGTAACTGAAGAAACTGAGACTGAAAGAATATATGGCCAGTGAAAGGGGCGACTGCCCAGTCGAATCATGAGTTAAAATTCTCATTTATCAAGACCTAGAATCTGAAGGCTGCCACCTCTAACAGTGTCTTGTTTGTTTTTTTAGAGTTAAGGCCTCGTGAATATGTCGAAACAGCCAGTATCCAACGTTAGAACCATCCAGGTAAGTAGGTATATTTGTGTTTTACCAACAACTCTGTGACTTCTAGTCTGATTCTTTAGTAAGTCATACCAACTGCAATTGTTGATATGACTTACTCTAACTGATTATTAACTTTAAGAAGAAAAGACAGTTCCTAAAGACTTAGGAGGCAGACTTGAGAAAGGGCTGTAAAACTGACAGGGTATAACTGAGAGCCAAAGCTACTTTTGATTGCTCGGAATCGTAAGGCAATCAGAGTTTATAAATGAGAATTACAGCCTACAAAAGGTGCTAAATTCAAAAGAACCTATTCTGTCCTTTATGATGAACCAAAGAGAGGCTCCAGAAGGCTCCAAAAGAACAATGCATAGGAAACACTACTTAATCTGATTTGATCAGTATATCTGGAATACATGCATTAAAATATACTACTAAATATATACTGTTCCCCATAAGGATATATAGCTATTACAGGCTAATTAAAATATAGCATGTTTGTCCATACAGGATTTTTATATGTCCATTGATAGAGAATAGAACATTCAGTTTTCATTTTTATAATAAACGGATACATGGATATGGCAATAGGTCACAGTTTGCACAACTCATTTGTTTCAAATATATCTTTTTACAAGGAGGTTTAGCTCAGCACTAGAGCACACAAATAGTATGTGTAAAGATCTGAATTCAATTCCTAGCACTGATAAAATAAAATAAATCTCTCTTTATACAATGACTTAAGTCAACTGTTCTTCCAAAGCCTTGTGAGTTCAAGTTCATAGGTTATTAATTTTCCTCATGCTATTCCAACAAACTCTTTGGTTGCTTAAACTGACTTAAGTGTCATCCACGAAGAGGAGACAGAGAAAAAGGCATTTTGAAATGTAGATACAATATGAAAATAACTTTCAGTATTGTTTTTTACCCAAGACTTAATCTGTTGTTTCTTTTGAGGGCTCCAAGTTTGACTATCAAATAGTTCCCAGCCCGAGATTCTGGGCACAATACTTTACTGTCAAATTCTGTTTTCCTTTTGTCAGCACAGAATCTAGCTGTGCTTTCTCTGAAGAAATTTCTTCCATTTCTGGACTTTTCTGAATGCTGCAGGACATGCAGTGGCTCTCAAGTACTGCACCAAACACAGCATAAACACAATCATAAATGGCCGATGGAGCTTTGGAGTGGTCTGTGAACATTTGGCCAGGCTATGAACATGCCATTGAAGGTTTGAGAAATCCTAGTATATACAGCAGTGGGAAAGGGTGCTGGAGAGACAGAGCTTCACTTGTCATGACTAATGCATACTCTTAAATTGATGGAGTTCTTAAGTGGCAGGATGGATGGATACCAGTCTCTGGAAACCTGTCACTGAGCAAGTTCAAGGAGGGGGCCTATGTATTTGGCAAGGATTCCCTTCCACATGTCAACATTCAGCATTCTGGTATCTCCATCTGGTGAGTCTCTGATATATGCTGACAATGGCAGTGGGCATTATATTGCTGCCTGTGCCTGTGAACCTTGAGCCTTTGAATCTTCTCTTTTACATGGTATTCAAATAGTAGCATGGACTCTGAAACAGACTGCAGTCCAGAATCCATCTTGTGCTGGTGCAGAAACATGGAAAAGGACTTCCTGCTGTTTTAACCTCTCTGGACCTCCATTTCCAAACCTGTGAAATGGAGGTAATAGTAGTTCTGTTTAGGAATTAGCAAATGAGACCCCCAAAATAGCATAGTAAGCTATCATTGGAGACCAGCCATTATTCTATTTATGACCACAAGGGTAGTTTGTATCAGAGTTGTGATTGCTGCACTCCAAGCTCTTGAAGTGCTAAACAGAAATTTTCCTTTTTATTTTTTAAAACACTACCAAGCTGTTTTTTCATCCCTTCCTTTTAAAGCTGAAAGCCTATTGATTTTTCTTCCTTAGTGCCCTGTGGCTAATACAAATCTCCACTGAAAATTCACTAGCATTTTATTTACTAAATTTGACCTTGATGTATTTTAAGGTCTGCAATATTTAAAAAGCCACTATTGACCATTCTCAATAGCTGTTATTATGTTGCATTACAAAAAAAATCCATCCACTTTACCAACAAGGGCAATCAGTGTTTCCTTATGGATGTGGTGTTGTCTCTTTCAATATATTTGATGTTTCACTGAAAAACCTATTTAATGCACTTTCAAATGAAATATTATTTGTTGTGGCTAAATAGTGTCAGCACTATCTGATATTTTCCGATCATCCTTACATGAACCTTAAACAGGGTACACTAAACAAAATATGAAAGTTCATACAGAATGGTTCATAGTAAGGGCATTAGATTATAATTTTCTCTGGAGCTAACCCAAAATCCGATGAGAGAACAATCTGTGTAAATAACATTGGATGCTCTTAAATGGCCTAATCAACACACTTTAGTCACTTTAATTTTTAAAAAAGACGTTATTTTTATGTGTGTGGTTGTTTTGCCTGTATGTATGTTTGTGCACCACATGTGCCTGGTACCCAGTGCCCACAGAAGCCTGAAGAGGTGAGTATTGGGAATGGAACCTGGGTCTTCTGAATAAGCAACCAGTGCTCTGAGCCTCTGACCCATCTTTCTAGTCCACAATTACTTGTTTTCATTAGACTCTTATCTCCAATTCTATTCAACTGACATTTTCGGGGAGCATAGTATGTGCCATTAGTAGGTAATAAAACAATGAATTGATACCGCATCTCTGTACTAGATAAACTCATAGCTTGCAGTATTTAATAACTACATGACTTTGGGCAAGTAGTTATCCTCTTTGTTCTCCATCTTTTGTTTATCTGTTAATGAAATGAGTAGCATGACATGTTTCATAGTGTTTCTGCAAGTATGAAATGAATTTAATACATGTAGATGGTAGGCCAGTGCCAGAATGATAGTAATCACTTAATAAATGGCTGTTACCACCCATCAATCAGTCATCATCACTATGTATTTTAATCAGTTACCAAAGTGTATGCCTTAGAATACCCTAACTTTCACAGGATATTGTTAATTTGGTTAAATTTCCATAAGTGGCTGGGCAGTGGTGGCACATGCCTTTAATCTCAGCACTCAGGGAGTAAGAGGGAGGGGGAATCTCTGTGAATTTAAGGACAGCCTGGTCTACAGAGTGAGTTCCAGGGCAGCCAGGGGTACACAGAGACACCATATCTCAAAAAATCAAACCAAACCAACCAACCAACCAAACAAACAAACAAATAATAAAGGAGTTTCCATAACTGTTTGGGAAACTTTTTCAGAGTCCATTACTTCTTAACAGCATCTTATTCTTCTCTGGAAGACTGTGTTCTTCAAGCATTTTGGACTTTTCAATGAGCAGTCTTGCAGAATAGTGATTTGTAGTATAAATTTCTAACAGCTTAGTTTTATATCTCTATTTTATCTGGATTGAGTAAACTGAGCCACTTTCAACTACTTCTCATAGGCAGGCAATTTTAAGAGTGTACCAGAAAATATGGAAGTCAAATCTCTCTGGCTTTAAGCATCCTTAGTTTACTTTTCTGTAAAAATTGGGGCAAACATTACTATGTAAATGAATAAACTAGATAGTTTATGACAAATCCCTGGTTTCTAGAACACACACCCTTTGAAAAATGAGTCTTCTCCCTGTGCAAAGCAAGGAACTCCATTTCCCCATGCCAGAGTAACAGGGAGGTTAGACTTAGGATCATCCTTACAGAATGTAGGTAGCTGTCTTTCATGTTTGCTAAAGATGGCCTTTGAACTGTAAGGGGAGTCTATGTCTACCATTATTCCCTGTCACATTGTATCAGCCAAGAGCATAAAAACATTCTGAAGGAGCCAGTTTAAGCTGTTTGTAAAGTTCCGTATCAGATGCCGACAAAACATTTTCTAGAAAGGACCAGATAGACAGTAAATATGTTAGTCTTTGAATTGTTTGATCTGCTTCAATGATCATCTCTGCTATTATTCCCTGAAGCAATCACAGGGCCATAAATGGAAGAATGTGTCTGTTTCTCAATGGCTTGTTTAAAATGTAAACTTTAGGTGGTGGGTTCCATTTGTCCCATGGATTGCAAATTGACAATCCCATTGTTGATTATAATGTAGCTGCAACCAAGGCAACATCAGCACACTCTGTACACTGAGTCTGTTCCCTTCAGCTGAAGGGATGTGACATGACAGGTGGCAGGAAAGTTAAAACTGCTAAGAAATCTAATGCCATCAGCCATCTGTGCAGTGGCTTTCTCTAATGAGACCAAGTGATACCAGCCCTTGGTTGCATCTTAATGGCCCTCCAGAACACACCATTTTGGGACTCTCCACAGACCTCAGCTCACCAGAACCAGCCATCTCTGGGTTGACATAAAACTATTCTTCTGATATTTGTCCTCTCCATTGAGATCTACCAATCTCATGACAGACTAGAAAAAAGGCTTATGCTCTAGTTGTGGTTGTTATCCATGATTTTACTAGATTGGTCCTCATGATTTGCAAATAGAAGATGTTGTGTCAAATGACTTTTAAGACCCTGGCAAGATTCTTCTTCTTTTTTGTTACTTTGCTCATTTTTTCCTTTTTTAAACATTGTTTTTATTTTATTTATTAGAAAGAAAATTATTTTACATGTCAATCCCATGACAGGGTGTAAGGTGGTATCTCAGAATTGTGTTGATTTGCATTTCCCTGATGGCTAAGGATGTTGAACACTTTCTTATGTGTATCTCGGCCACTTTAGATTCCTTCATTGAAAATTGTCTATTTAGTTCTGTACCACACTTTTTCATTGGCTTATTTAGTGTTTTAGAGACTAGATTCTTGAGTTCTTTGTAAAATTGGAGATTAGCCTTCTGTCAGAGGTGGGCATGGTGAATATCTTTTCCCAGTGTTTGGACTGTCATTGTGTCTTGCTGACTGTGTCCTTTGCCTTTTCAGTTTAAGGAGGTCCCATTTACTAATTGTGGATCTCAGTGTGTGTGCTACTGGTGTTATATTCAGGAAGTGGTCTAGTGTACCAATTTGT